CCAAATTTTCAATTAATAATTTGGTAATCTGCAGAGTTATACTAGTGTCTAATCTAATTTACTAACTCATGTACTAATCCTGCGGCATCCTTACCTCTATTGGCCTTGTTCAATCGTCAGCAAAATAGCAAAAGAATTAAAGGCCTGAAATTATTACTTGTTTTATCTTTTGGCAGCAGTTATTCGATAATAAAAAGTAGGGAAATAATTATAGTTGAAGACTTAAGAAAAAAAAAATTAAAGTGAGATTATGAGTATATTTAAAAGGTAGTTGAGTTTGAGTATCGTCGGCTTTTAACAATGGTCCTAGTTTCCGGCAGACACGCAGCCGGCGTTGGTGGGTCCCCCTACTCCGGTTTTTTCTTTCTCTGCGGCGTATGTTAGAAAATTCTTCGTGCTTACGTCACCAAGTGGTGCCACAATTCAGGGTACGGATATACTCATTTTCTTGGAAATTAGAGAGTTCTAAGATGAAATATTAACACTCTTTAGCTTCTCTGACAGAAAGAACCTAAATTTTAGTTACATAGATTCTTTCATTATAAAAAAAATGAGAGAAAACAAATTAATAGTGAATTTATACTAATTTCCAAATCAGAAGAGTTGAGTAAAACAAATATTTTATGAAACAACTAGTCGAGCTATTGTGTTTTTAATAAGTGATCTTTTGGATATCTTTTTATAATAATTTAATCGTATCTAAATTAATAGTAATTGATACTATATCTCTCGATTTAATAAAACAGAAATTTGCAACATCATTCGACCCATTAAATTGATGCGTTTAATCAGAAATATTGTTTATTCTCCATAACTTTCTTCTAATGGAATTTATTTTTTTTCATTTTATTTTGTGTTGGGGAAAAATGTTTTTATCTGTTATTGTGAGGACAATGATGTTGTGAGGATTTTCTATACCGTATATAATTAGATGCAGTGGTCTTATTAAGAAAAGAAAAAAAAAATACTCCTTCCGTCTCCTTATATAAAATATTTTGGCTGAATCCGAGAGAATTGAGAAGAAAATATTTTTTAACAAACAACATTTATTAATTAGTTAAAAATATAATTCAACTAATCATATAAAAGATCACATAGTTCAAAAAGTCAAAATAATCAAATGATATTTAAATCTGCATAAAAACTAGTAAAACATCTTATATATTGAAATAAATAAAAAAAATTAAAATATCTTATATTTAGAGACAAGAGAGTAATAATTATTGTTTGAAAAGGAAAAAACGACGACGTATAAGGGAAAAGCGGCTTCATAATGAGAGCAGCAGAGAGGAGAAGTTTGATTGGATTCTTGTCTCCAACTCCGCAATCAAAGTACCCCTTCGTGATTCGCGTGTTCATCCAACGGTTAGATTCTATTCGTTGTCCACGTGTACGAATCTTAATATTTCACATTTATACTTTCAATTCACAAAAATAAAAGCTAGGCGGCACCGACGGCCAAGCAAAGCGATTAATCCTTTTCAGAAGAGACCGAATCAGAGACTGTGGCACCCACAGTTTCCTCAGCTTTTTTATAGTAATATAATAGCATATATTATACTAACGATTTATGTAAGTAGACTTTGGATTATTTCAAAGTCATTGTCCTCTCAAAAGTATTTAGAACTTGGTTCTAGAACTTAATTTTGATACTGTGGCGTCAGGATAAAACCTAGCTAATTCGAAGTTAAAGGGCCGATGTTGTCGCAAGAGATTTTCTTTGTTGTGGAATTGAATCAGAAACATCTGCGAATTTAATGTTTATAAGTATTTTAGCATTTTCACAAAAGTATGATTGAATTTGTTTCCTACTTATAAAGAATGGCAGCTTAAGATATGTGAGGTTGAAGGAAACCGGTTCAAAATCGGATTCAATCTGGTTTTTATTAAGAAAAAAACATTAATACAAAAACCGGAATGGTTTATTGGAGAGTAGATACGTGTGGTTGAGCATCTGGCGCGTGTGAAAGGGGGGCATGGGATGTAAATTCCGTGTTGACGAGGTTTATGTCGGGATTCTTGGTTGTCTTCACGTGCATCTCCACCGTCCGATAAAGCTTTGATGCTCACTGTC